GCAGCACGACGCACAAGCAGACAACAACACACAACACACACACACACCACAACTGCAGGGACACAACTACCACACGGCCGCAACAACACACACACGACATTCACAATGCACACCACCGCAACCACACCGGACACCACGTGACACGCCTAACAACACAAACACCACAGGGAGCTAACACTCACCACAGAGTATCAACATGACAACACAGCCGACGTATGCAGCCACACCCATACACAACACACACACACGACACAACACACCACACGCCCGGACACCAACCCAACACCTCAACAAGCGCCAGACACACACACACACACCCACACACCTACAACACACACGACTACACACACACCGACGTACCACACCACTCACGAACACACACACACACACACACACAGGAAAAACACCAGACTTGTCACACGATACAGAACAAAATTAAAATGTTACAAAATATGGTGAGAAACGTTTTCAAGATTTATCGAGGACATTTTCACCTTACTCGTATCGAAATTGTCTCGACTCTGGAACTGCTTCCGGTATATGACCGTCTTCGCAGCCTGGTCTTCCTCCTGGCATTATGGGTCAAGATTTTTGGTGGTTGCCGCCTGAAAGGTGATCTGGGCGGAGCTTATTACACCCCAGTTAGAAGTATTATGATCATAATCACAGACTCGCTAAACCTGTAAAGTCATCTTAGTTATAGGAATGTTGGAATGTTGAAGGACAAGTGCCTTAAAGAGTGTCAACACAGACTTTATATGTCTTGTTTGGAGAGCTGTGGCTATTCAGACATCATTGTCTTCTTAACAGTACTTCTCTTGTGCCATTACGGATTCCGAGACATTAATTAAAAAAAATTCCACATCGGAACTCAAGGAACTCGCACTTCGAACTTTCGACTCTGTAGTGAAGTTTGGTTGCCTTTTATTTCAGTTCCAGATTTGGTTTTCTATAATCAGGGTGAAATTTGTTTCTGAATATCATTTGGCTTTCTTGCGTCCTACTGGAAGACTTAGTTTACATTGTCTGTTGTACTTTCCATACATGTTACTCTCATACACAGACTAGTGTCGTCCACGAAGGTTAATATAATGCTATAATTTATGTGTGTCAGATATAATGATGAGAAATGGTACTGGTATTAAGTCGAGCAACCTGAAGTGGTGTACCCTGAGTCATCTTACCCTCAGGTACACTACCACAAAGTAGGCAGCTTTGAGGTTTGAAAAACCATTTGACCTGGGTGATCATTTAGCAGTCTTGACAAGAAAAATAATACAAACAAAAGAACATCTAAGGTAAAATTAGAAAACAATAAAAAATAACACGACTAAAACACAACACAAATACTATCACATCAACCAAAAATAACCAGCATCAGCTAAAAAAAAATCACATTAAATCTTCCATGTCCAAAGACGACTCTCCTAAAATGAACCCCGAGATCCCTACAAGCACCTCGGTAATTACAAAACCCACGGCGAAAGTTCAAAGGCCTAAGTAGTGGGGAAACAGTTAAAATGCACTTGTTGTATGCCACAGAGGCGGTGGGGGTCAGGTGCCAAGAATATCTTTGTCTGCCTTTTTTGCTCGACTGACAAACTCGTCTCAAAGTGGCAAATCATGATGGAGGAGGAGGTCAAACACCCACATCCTGCGGGATTCTGAATAACTTGCTTCTCGTAAGGCCAACTGTACCCGCTGTTTCCCAAAAACATGTTTCCGTATGAGGCTCATGAAATCTGTGAGGCAGAAGTCTGCTATAGCGTGAGCTCGTTCTAGCAGCCGGCGCCCAGGCATCTGCCCGTTCATCTCCCACGAAACCAACATGGCTCCGGAACCAACTGGACTCCACATCTTTGTGGTTTTTGGCGCATGTGACATGCTAAGGATCACAAAGTGGACAGAATCATACGTGGTCAGGGTAGGTACCCCGACGTACCGTGCCCTGAGGTGCTGATCCTTCCACAGCCGAGGCTTTTTGAGTTTACTTTTTTACGTATTACACTCTGAGTATTACACTCTGAGTATTACACTCTGGGTATTACACTCTGGGTATTACACTCTTGGTATTACACTCTTGGTATTACACTCTTGGTATTACACTCTGGGTATTACACTCTGGGTATTACACTCTGGGTATTACACTCTGGGTATTACACTCTTGGTATTACACTCTTGGTATTACACTCTTGGTATTACACTCTTGGTATTACACTCTTGGTATTACACTCTTGGTATTACACTCTTGGTATTACACTCTGGGTATTACACTCTTGGTATTACACTCTTGGTATTACTCTTGGTATTACACTCTTGGTATTACACTCTGGGTATTACACTCTGGGTATTACACTCTGGGTATTACACTCTGGGTGCACTAACGATGTCAAAAGGAGTGTTCAGTATGCTTCGTAGTAATTAGATTTCATACTTTCTAAAATAAATGGCTGTTTAGCTGTCTAGGGGCAAAAACACACTAAAACTATGAATGTGTAAATGTGTAACTAATATCACCGAAATACTGCAGGAACACTGTAAGTTGTGACACTGTTAACAACTTTCCAAACTGCTAAAAACGTTGTTGACAGTCTACTAGTCTGCTAAATAACCGTTTACAGCCTTCCAGTCCGTCAAAAAGCGTCGTTTACAATCTCCCAGTCTGCCAAAAAGAACTGTTTACAACTTTCAAATCTGCCAAAAAAGTTTACAACCTTGCAATCTGCCAAAGAAACAGTTGACAATCTTCCAATCTGCCAAAAAAAACAATTTACAACCTCCCAAATCACAAATAACGTTGCTGGAACAATTCACAAAAAAAACACAATCGACCGAAACGTCGTTAAGACGATGTTTCGGTCGATCGTGAACTAGTGTCAACTGATTATGGTTGAGGAAGGACTGAAACGTGACCCGAACTTTCTTTCCGTATTTTTATTTTCATTTTAGTTTGTGAAGATGGCACACGAGGCAGAGCGAGTTCTTACTGGAAGCAAGGAAACATTTACGCTATACACAGGACGAACAAAGGCCTGATCTGAAACGTGTCTCTTCACTCACGTAAACCACGGAACGGGTGAGCTTTGAAACCGTGGCGAGGGAGTCTTAGGAGGCACGTGTAAGTTCTCTCGTCTTCTAATAACATGTTCATCTTCCACTATAATCTACCTTGACAAAAATTACTATCACATTTGCTATGTCTGTTTCGTAAGGTGAAGTCTAGCAAAGATTTGAGCTTCGTTCAGACCTCTGCAACACAACGTAGATTAGTGGAAAAATGAGTATGTTATTAGAAGACGGGGGAATTTACGTACCCTATAAAACTCACATATATACACCGACCAACCTTCCTGTGTAACTCAAATCTGTGATCACAAGATGTCGCGCCACGCCAATCACAAGCTCACATATAACACTTCCACCAAAGGGTGTATTCAATCCAGATGTACTCCAGTAATAGTTATAATTATAATCTTAATGTTTAAAGGGGTGGAGCGATAAGCCAGTGGAAGGCCTCAGTCAGATGACCAAAAGCTCCAGTGGCAGGTCATAATATGATTAAGACCCGCGTCAGGAAATACTTGTCCTGTTTCCTGACGAATCTTACCTAACCTAACCTAACTCCTGTTAACTCCTTATTGGGGGAGGCCTAGTTCTAAGGCCTCCTGGCTATCTATATGTTCTTGGACTATCCTCCAGAGGATAATGAGGGCACAATGAAGTAGTCGGTCCGGCGGCAAAATGTAAATGTAATGGAAGCGGAATATTTCTATATATTCCAGTCTATCTCATCTCAGGTAAGATAATCGAACATTTACATTCGTATAAACGGTATTAGGGAACTCACTATAACTGCCACATACACGATGGTATTCAACCCAACAAAACGTATGTTTAACAGAGAGAGTTCGCGGTGGAAGTAATTATACTGACGTTGTATTGATTAGTATTAAGCTTAATCAGTGTTGATAGAGCTCATCAACACTGTGCGAAACGTCACAAAATTGTGGACTTGCTCTGCGAACTCTCTCTATCAAACTTGTCTGAACAAGTTACCAGAGCAACCAAGCAGGAAATTATTATTATTATGAGGGAGCGCTAAACCCGTAGGGTTATACAGCGCATGTGGGGGGATGGAAGGCATTCAGGCTCAATTCAGGGAACCGGAGCACAGATCCAAATCCCTAGATCAAGAGTCCCTCACCAACGTCAAGGAACCTCCCTTGAGGGAACCAAGCAGGAAAAACATTAGTTTTCAAAATACACACATACACACACACACACATACGTCCTATAACATGTTTTAAGCCAGATATAAGTTGTAAACTACGATACACCAGACGATAAAGGCAATGACACTAACATAATGGTATACGTCGACTCACGCTTCATACTTCACCTAATAGTATACATATACATACATACATACATACATAATATATATATATATATATATATATATATATATATATATATATATATATATATATATATATATATATAAAATAATATATATAATATATATATATATATATATATATATATATATATATATATATATATATATATATATATATATATATATATATATATATATATATATATATATATATATATATATATATATATAAATATATATATATATATATAAGATGAAAAAATAATAAAAATAATTACACTATTAATAATAATGAGGCTACAAATAACCGTAAAATATAAACTGAAGGAAGCTTTAATAAAGTACTTAGATTAATGACTAACTGGACTGCTGTAGGAAAGTGAGGACATGTTAGGTTATAACGAGCTATAACGATATTTCTCCAACTACAGATATCAATATTAACAAGCTTAAAAATACAGCATGTATGTATATATATAATTAAATATATATATAAAAATCTATAACTGCTACGATGCTAAAATACGGTATATTCAGTGCATATATGTGTATAGACGCAGTGAGACAGCCATAAGCGACAAAAGAGGAAATGAGGACTTACCGTGAGCGTGAACGAAGAGAGGGAAGAGGGAGAGGAGAGAGAAGAACAGCAACAGCAGCAGCAGCAGGAGAGAGTAGGACCCAGAACGTCGCATCCGCGCACCGGAGACATGATGGAGGTCCCACGCGCAGCCATCACCAGCCATCCCGTACACAGCGCAGCCTGCGCACACACACACACTCACACTTAGCCAACTGTATGAGGAACATCCAACAACTAGATCATATTCTTTACAAAAAGTTAGTCTTCGTTAATTAATCTGCTTAAATAGTACAATTAAAATATGTGCATACATAGCTGCAATAAAATATAGCCAAGAGAAAAATACAAGGCATATTTTTTTGCATATACATTGTAATAAATACTGTGAATCATATTCACATGGACAGAATAAGATCTTAAGTTAACGCTGTTTTGCCCTGGGAGAAATCGTGTCCAGTACCAACTACGTTTGTTTGATTCACCACTTGTGTCAAGTACCACGTACATTTGATTCACCACTTGTGTCAAGTACCGCTTGTGTCTGAGTTACTTGTTCGGTTCTGCCCAAGTTGCATACATGTCTGAGAATGGCACTGTTAAGCGTTTAATCTGGAGGTGGGAAGTATAGTGCTTGCACTCAATAATAATAATTTTATTTCTTTTCTGCAGTATCCAGGTAATGTAGTTTACATGTAATAACATATTGTTAGGCACAAAATAAAGCCTCTAGCATGTGGTGCATGATGGGTGGAGAAGTTGTGGCTCTGGAGGTGGGAAGTACAGTGTCTGTATTCAGAAGGATGGGCGGGATGTTGTATTTCTTGATGTGTGAAGTACAGTGCCTGAAGTCTGAAGGATGGACGGGGATGTTGTAGTTCTGGCTGTGGGAAGTACAGTGTCTGCACTCAGAAGGATGAGCGGGATGCTGTATTTCTTGACATGTGAAGTACAGTGCCAGCACTCTGAAGGATGGGTGGGGATGCTGCATTTAGTGATGTGTGGAGTACAGTGCCTGAACTCTGAAGGATGGGTAGGGATGCTGTAGCTCTGGAGGTGGGAAGTAGAGTGTCTACACTCTGAAGGATGGCCTAACTAGTATGCCTCCTTGGGGAGGCATAATAGTTATTTAATAACATTTCGAGATTATTTAATAACATTTCGAGGTTAAAAGCCGACCTGAAGACGCATTCTTTAGGTACTGAAATCAATATTACTATTGAATATTACCAAACTGGGACTTATGCAGCCTCATAACAACGCTCTGAAAAACATACTAGAGCTGAATAATTATTATGGGGAGAGCTACACCCGAAGGGATTATACAGCACCTGTGGGGGGGATGGAAGGTATTCAAGCTCAATTCAGGGAATTGGAGCACAGATCCAATTCCCTAGATCAAGAGCCCCTCACCAGCACCGAGGAACCTCCCTTATCTGGAGAGAGTTCCGGGGGTCAACGCCCCCGCGGCCCGGTCTGTGACCAGGCCTCCTTAGGTCAGTGTCCCAGGATGCGACCCACACCAGTCGACTAACACCCAGGTACCCATGAACATAGACAACAGGTGGAAAGAAACACGTCCAATGTTTCTACTCTGGCTGGGAATCGAACCCAGGCCCTCACCGTGTGAAGCGAGAGCGTTAACCACCAGGCCACCAGAGCCCCTTGAGGGAACCAGAGCTGAAAAATAGTTACAATACAGTTACAGAGATTATCATACATATCAGCATATGTAGGGACCCTAAGATAACCCAAAAAAGTCAGTGACTTATTTCCACTGAGTCATTATAAGCGTGATATAACGGGAGCACCAACTCACCCTGACACATATTATTATTATAATCAAGGGGGAAGCGCTAAACCCGGAGGATTATACAGCGCCTGGGGGGGGATGTGGAAGGCATTCAGGCTTAATTCGGGGAACTGGAGCATAGATCCAATTCCCTAAATCAAGAGCCCCTCACCAACATCAAGGAACCTTCCTTGAGGGGCCCTGACACAAAACTGACAGTGATCCACCTACACTCTGGAGTTTCACTCTTACTCAAGTTACGAGGCATCTTTTTTCCCTGAATATTTGAAGACAAACAGCAGACGCTTTTGAAAGTTATCATCATTCTAGGAATGGGTCATCATACAGCTCTATTAGCAGGTCATCTGCACATGACAACAATTCCCTTAATTTTTCCCTAATTACCGCACACCAGCGTTGAAAGTTTGAAACCAATCGGATGAGGCTTTCCCGTGTTAAGGAAACAAAAAAAATGAATTAGAAAACAGTTCAGACGGCACTTTCTACAACGATTAATAATGAATCATAACAACCTGGTAACAAAATATATAGTATGACTTCCCAAATATATGAATACATAACCAAACACTAAATAATTATAAACGAGTTATCATTTACCAACAGCTGACAATGACGAGGCATAAAAATGCAAATTCAATTGATCTCCATGTTGATTGGGGCCAAAAGGGCCTCCCAGGTGTCTGGAGGACAGGTGTGCACGGCCTGCAACCTGTACCCTCCTTTATACGTCCTGCCATCACCACACCTCATCACCAGTGTCTTAGCTGAAGGCTGGAAGATAACAAGAGTCCAGAGCAAGAGTTGTTGACTCTCACTCTTGATGCCTGGGATGAGACTGACGAGGTGGCGGACGCACGAGCACGGAGGGGGGCGTTGCCGGCCCTCAGGCCGGCGGAAAACCTGTTGTACACAAACCTTTGCTTTTTTTTTTTCCAGTTGAGTGGGAGTTTCTGGACGCTGATGCCAGGGCTCTATGATTCGGTGAACTGAGGCTACCCTTCCCCTTCCTCGAATCAAACCTGATTGCCTCCCATTCCCCATCCCCAGGCGATGTTTGACCCCTACCTAATGGTCTTCAGAATCACGACTACTTTTAACATTAACTACGTATTTGTTTACACATGTTCACTGTAGAGTTGCTAGAGGGAGTTTGGGGTCCAGGGGGGAATGGGTGGTCAACCTCAGCATATTCGCCGGGTCAAAGGTCACAGGTCACATTCCACGGGGGCACAACTTGCACAGGCGGTGACCGCAACAGCGACCCCAGTTGCAATTATTGCTTAGCAAGCTTCAACTAAATTTCCTGCTACGGGGACGATATATTGCCTGTTGCACACACACACACACACACGTACGATAAACCTCTTAGAGCAGGAGAGAGAGAGAGAGAGAGAGAGGAGAGGCGGCCAGGACCTACGAGTCGACCCCTGCAACCACAAACGGGTGAGTACACACACACACACACAGGACAGAAGGAACAGGGACGACATAATAGCGACGTATAAAGTACTGAGAGGAATTGACAGAGATAGGACACAGCAATAATGGGTCACAACTGGAAGTTGAAAACTCAGATGAGACACAGGAATGTTAGGAAATAATTCTTCAGCCTTAGAGTTGTCAGGAAGTGGAACAATCTGGAGGGAGAAGTAGTGGAGTTAGGATCCACATATGGTTTTAAGAAGAGGTGCAATAAGGCTCTTGGAGCAGGGAGAGAATGAACCTAGTAGCGACTAGCGAAGAGGCGGAGCCAGGAGCTACGACTCGACCCCTGAAACTACATATAATTGAGTAAACACACACATACAAATAACGAGGCAGGAGGGATCACAACGTTATATAACGGGTGCACAGGAGAGGAAGAGATAAGGCAGATGACAAACAAGGCACAGTCAAACTAAACTGCTGGTCACACACAGCCGGGAGCTGTATGTGACCAGCACGATCAGGACACGATCAGGACACGATCAGGACACGATCAGGACACAACGATAGTGGAGAGGTAAAAATACGCAACCCATACAGAGGAGGAGAAAGAAGTTTATGACGACGTTTTGGTCCCACTTGGATCATTAACTAGCCACTAGTCGTGTGACTAGTCAATGGTCCAAATCGGACCGAAACGTCGTTATAAGCGTCTTTTTCCTATGTCCGGGTTATTTGCGTATTGTTCAAGTCATGGTATTGTGACTTGTTTTTTTTCAGGAGAGGGAACAGTTAAGTGAGGATGTAAAACTCGCCAGGTACTGAGAAGAGTAGCAGAGGAAGAGTCAGGAGGAAGCACTCAACCTCGAGGAACTCAAGAACCACCCCAGCCCCTTGCCTGGAAGGTCCAACTCAGGACCAGCCCTCACTTTCCCAGCAACTACACTAACCCCTCCTACCCGACCCCACTCACCTGCTTTCCCCTACCTGCCGACAGCCTCATACCTAATACCTCCTCATGTTAAGATGCACGTAAGTTTATTTACGTAGAAGTACACATAAGTACAATTATCATACATAGTAACATATGTACGAAACAACTATTGTGAGAAAAATTGTGAACTTCCAAGAGCTGTAGTGATTTCTCACATTAATAAGTTCCTTGATAATGTGAGAAATCACGAAAGCGGTTTTAACTTTACTATTTTTTCACAGTGTTTGTTTTGAATATTGTGATATCACCTGTTTACTGTGATCTTATTGCATAGTAACATATGTGTAAATTACCTAGATAACCAAAAAAATAGTCAAAGTGACTTACAATGGGGCCTTAAGACAGCCTTACCTCTCCCTGGGTCTGTGAGAGGAGGAAGGTGAAGGAAGAGTAGAGAATGTAAACCACTGTATGGTAAGAAAAATATAGCTCAGAGTGTGATACACAGTGCAGATGGATATCATACAAGAACGATGAGTATAAAGAAAGAATAACAGAGTTAACCCCAGACATCGCAGCTATCACAGAGACAAAGTTAGCTGAAATATCAGATGCCATATTTCCAGCAGGATATCAGGTGATAAGGAAAGCCAAATGAAACAGGGGAGGCAGAGGAGTAGCATTATTAATAAGAAATAAGTGGGGGGTTTTAAGAGATAATCGGGATAAACGGACATGTGGCAAGTGACCACACAGTGGACTCAATTAAGTGTAGAGGACTTTGTGTAATAGTGCCGGAGGTTATTTACAACTCGCCACCTAACAGAAGGAGACCGAGACAGAAATATGAATCCAACAAAGTAGTGATGGACATCACAGGAGAAGCAGCGAGGATGACACACAGTGCTAAAGCGAAGATATTTATTCATGGAAGATTTCAACCACAGAGAAATAGACTGGGAGAACTGAGACCCACATAGGAGACCTGAAACGTGAAGGGGTAAGTTAACATAAGCAGTTAGAGGGGAAAATTTATGTGTCAGCATGTTAGGGATACGACAAGAGAAGAGATAAACCAGCAAGACTAGACTAAGTATTTGCTGCAAGTACATCTCACAAAGATGAAATGGAATATGAGTGCCAATCCCTCTCCTTCCCGGGCGCTGGCACCCATAAAGTACTGAACTTTGAGTACAGTGTGAAACTGAACGTAGAGGGAAGAACGGCAGGTGGAGGATGCGAGAAGCCAGGCTTTAGAAGAGGGAACACCAAGGGGACGAGAATATCCCTGAATACAATGCAGCGGGAAAGGGAACTAGAAGGAAAGTGAGAGGATAAGATGTTGGGGTACCCAGCTGTATATTAGAGGAAGAGGAGAATTTCATACCCAGAGGAAAGAACAAGAGTAAACACAAGAAGGGTCCTGGGTACAGCCGGAGATGCTGAGGCTAAGAGAAGCAAGTTACTGTGACTGTATGAAGCCAGACATACCACGTAATTCTGCTTTTTTTTCTTCTTCATCATTTTCTTCTTCTTCTTCTACGTCTTCTTCTTCTTCTTCTTCTTCTTCTTCTTCTTCTTCTTCTTCTTCTTCTTCTTCTTCTTCTTATTATTATTATTATTATTATTATTATTATTATTATTATTATAATTATTATAATCGCCATCATTATTATTTTACTGTTATTATTTAATCATTATATTCATTATAATTATTATTATTATTATTATTATTATTATTATTATTATTATTATTATTATTATTATATTATTAGTATTATTATTATTATTATCATTATCATCATCATCTTCATCATTATTTAGCATTAATTTCTTATAATTTGACATTCCTTCTCAGATCCTACACTCTTAGACATGATACTACACTCTGAAACATGATCCAACACTCTGAGACATGATACAACACTCTGAGACATAATCCAACACTCTGAGACATGATCCAACACTCTGAGACATGATACAACACTCTGAGACATGATACAACACTCTGAGACAATAAGGTTTTCTTGACGAGTCCCCTAAATTCCTTTCCAATTAAGAGCGTCTTGCGTTGTCTTACAAGAATACAACTTCGCTTTAAGCAAAAGAAAGATGGAAGGTCGGGAAGAATGGAGGGAGGGAAGGAGGAAGGAAGAAAGATGGAGGGAGGGAAGGAGGAAGGGAGAGAGATGGGGCGAGGGAAGGAGGAAGGGAGAGAGATGGGGGAGGGAAGGAGGAAGGGAGAGAGATGGAGGGAGGGAAGGAGGAAGGGAGAGAGATGGGGCGAGGGAAGGAGGAAGGGAGAGAGATGGAGGGAGGAAAGGAGGAAGGGAGAGAGATGGAGGGAGGGAAGGAAGAAGGGGAGAGAGATGGAGGAAGGGAGGGAAGGAGGAAGGGAGAGGGAGGAGGGAGGGAGGGAAGGAGGGTTGAAGCAAAGGAATCAATTAAGGACAGAGGGAAGAACTAAGAAAAATAGAAAAACGATGTATTTCGGAGATAGATAGGGTTGAGGTATATATTATTTTTTAGAGGTATTCTACACATGTATGCTGTAAGAATGCTTGGGTGTGGTTTGTTGTGATTATGATACTGTTGCGATGTGACAGGCTTATATGCTCAGGTGAAGCTAGGAGAATGAGTGACAGGGTAATGTATACTGACGAGAGACAGTGGGTGGTTGCCCAAATGAGGGGGAAGAGGGGGGGGGGTGAGGAGTGTTGAAGTGACTGACTTTGCACCTTGGTCAATGGTCCAAGTCGGAACGAAACGTCGTCGTAAGCTTCTCTCTTTTATGTGCGGGTTATTTGTGTATAGTGTTTCTTGTATACACCTTTGTTTTGTACAGTGACCTTTGTGCAGTGAATAGGTTGTGATAGGGTAGTTTATTTACGTGTTCGCATTAGGTTACAGAAGCCTGTGCTGTGATACTGAATTTTGTTGATAGTATATTTAATCTTATATGATATATCAATTGTATGTGTACAACGACATGTTAATTCAGTAATTGGCCAGTGTGTTTGGCGGAGGTGTGTGTAGCTCCGGCGGATACAGATACTTCTGTATGATTTAACCCCAGGATAGGGGTAGTTATTAGGAATGTGTTTTTCTCGTTACATTAATATATATATGTGATATCTTCTTTACTTAACTCTACACGAGTACCGTTGTTTTGGTCCGCTGCACGTCACACTTAAGTTGAAGTGAGACATGACAATGTTAAGTGTTTTTATATATATATATATATATATATATATATATAATATATATATAATATATATATATATATATATATATATATATATATATATATATTATATATATATATATATATATATATATATATAAAATATATATTATATATATAATATAAAATATATATATATATATATATATATATATATTTTATATACTGACAGGTTGCTTGAGTGGTGTGTAGTGTGCTTGTCTTTTTTTTCTGTGTCG